CCCCCCTCCAATGCACAGACGAGGCGTGTTCACAGAGGTGTGTTCACGGGCACGGGGGCGTGTTCACACAGACTTCTGACCACACGCTCCGTTGCAGTCCTGGTGGCAAGCGGTTGAATTCCTCCGCAATTCAGTCAGGCAAACAGATGCACAATTCCAACACCAGCAACACGCAGGCGCGTATGCAGAGGAATAAGTGAGAGAGAGGGGGGGGGGGTCACGCTCTTAGTACTAACGCCGGATATATTGACAATTTGCAGCTTCAGCATCGTGTGATTAGGCAAAAGGCAAAAGGGGCCTGGGCCTGCCTACTCCAAAACCCTGGATACGACTTCCACCAACTAACATCATGATTTCGCGTCTGAGGCCCTTCACCAAGTTGTCGAATGAGGCATTGAATTGGTAGATCAGGTAGATGCCAGGCCAGAACATCACCAGCCTTCCACTGTTTTTTGGGAATTAACTGCTTTTCAGTTAGTCTTTTTATTTTAGCAGACGATTTCCGAAAATTAAAGGTAGTCTGGCATATTCTCTTCCTGATCTTCTCTTTTTACCAATGAAGTGCCTCATTACTTCTCACGTTGCATCTCCCGGCCACTAGGTCATCACGCCCAGTTACCGACCGGTTGCTGATGCGTTCTCAAAAAGAGCGAAAAGCGATGGTTTTTATAGAATGAGTGTTTGATTTGGCGTGCGCAGATTCCGAGCCATGGAGGAGAGTGCTAGAGGGGTGGGGGGTGGGGGGGGTGCAGATTCCGAGCCATGGAGGAGAGTGCTAGAGGGGTGGGGGGTGGGGGGGGTGAGTCCCGTTAAGGTAAGGGGTCACCAGCTGGCCCAGATGGCCGGCCAGCCCAGAGGTCTCATCTGCTGGCTGCGCATCTTCTGTCGAAACTGGAGATGACAGCAGACGCTTATCGCTGCTTAGTGTCAGACAAAATTTAAGAGACGGGTTATGTCTACGTGTGCGAGCTGCTGGCCGCGGTGCGAGCCAGAGAGTGAATGAGAGAGAGAGATTTGGGGGAAGGGGGGGGGCAGAGGGAGACTAAAGTGGGGGGCAGACGAGCCGCGGTCTGGATGCCGTCTAGACGAACCCGTACAGCTATCCTAGGTGACTCGCCGCTGTGTTTACCTCAACAATAAATTATGATAAATTCTTTTCTAATTGTCATTTAATCCGCGGAGAGTAATAATTGTCTGTTACTGCATAATTATTTTTGCATTCTAACCTGTGGCGCGCGAATACCGGCGCGTGGGAACGAAGCGTTAAATGAACCAACGAGAAGGCTGTATCCAGAGAGGCCCAGCCGACCGCCAGCCCGGAGTGAGATGGTGGGGGGGGGGGGGGCAGAGATTATGTCATGGCATCGGCCGCCACGCCCCTCCCGCCCCGGCCCGCCCGCTCCTGCTTCTGCCACTGGAGTGGCCCAGCCTGCCCTGCCCCCTAGAGGACCTGGAGCTGCTGCAGCAGCAGCGGCTTCCTGGTGACGAGCAGCATTATGTGTGTCCTGTAAATCTAAAACGCCACGCCTGCGTGTCGGCTTTGCGTCGTCTGCTAGGAACAGACCCCTCGCGTCCTTCGAGCGGATTACTTTCTGAAATTGCTGAACAGCGACCACCGTCATCGGACTTGAGCGATGCAAAGCTGCCTTTTGGTTTTGTAAAGCAACGGCACAGCTGTTCGCACGGCCTGCTTCTGCTTGCGAGCCGCAACAGCTGACGGATGGGGAGGCTGGGTGTTTATCCGCGAAAGCGCGCGAAATGCAATTCGCGCTACGCGCACGCACGCACGCACGCACGCACGCGCGGGCGCACATGAGAGGCGCACGAACCGGTTCTTAAAGGCGGCCTACTTTTCATGACATTATTCGCACAATATGCTCGGCTCGGAGTTGGTACGCGCACTGCAGTGCAGTTCTTGGGAAGCGGTGTCGTGGTCGGCGCGCCCGCCAACTCTTTTTGCTTTTTCTTGTTTGTTTTGTTTGTCCATGTTTTAAAGGGTTTACACGGCTTAGCTCCGGATCAATATCGGGCGAGGCGGGGCGAGGCTGTGCAGGGGCGATTACAGCATACTTCGGCAGGGCTGTGGCTCAGTGGTGTATTTACCGCAACTTGAATTACATTATAGCAGGAAAGGACAGTTTTGTTGTTGTTGTTGTTGTTGTTGTTGTTGTTGTTGTTGTTGTTGTTGTTGTGGCTTTGCCGACACTCGCCTTCTGCCGCTGCCGGTCGCTGCCGTCGCCGACCGGGGCCTAGCGATCGGACCTGCCACAGGACGCGCGCCAGCAGAGTAGGCAACCCATTCGACACATGTCGTCTATGCCTTCCGAGGCGAAGTCTCTTTCGCTCCAGCCCCTGCTTGCAGCTGCGGCTGGACCCTTTCTACTCCAACTGATCGCTGATCGGATCGGTGAAGTGCGGCTATAAATTTATTATGAATTTCGACGGATGCACTATACTTATCGCCTTATAGGTAGGCAATCAAGTTGTGTGGTAATGGCGGTCATATAGATGGCGATGCAGCTGGACAGGTGAGGTGGCGATGGTGACGATGCGCGGCGCCTATACTGGTCCACGGTAATAAAACTGAATCGACCCTTTGAAGATCGTTAGCGCGGGAAAAGGGGGGGGGGCGGTCACTGATCGGAGCAGGCAAGGGGCGCGCAGCTTTAACTGCGGAGCTGTAGGCTGCAGCTGTCGTCTCCAAGCGTTACTCCTTTTCTGTTTACTTATATACAAAAGTCAATGGGGGAGTAGAGAAGAAGAGAGAAGGGTGACTGGTCGGTTGCACAGCGTGTATCGCGTCAACCCAAAACGAAGCACCATAACATGAATGCAGGTAACTCGCCCCTCTCGCTCAACTTTGCTTGCATGAGCGCTGTGCCAAAACTTTGTGGAAAAATAATCACTTGTGAGTAAAGCGCACCATCTGCGAAACAAAACGTTTTGATTTGAAAAGCTCTACAACGGAAAATATGCCGCTATTAACGCGTTAAATGACCTGCTGCGTGGAGTGAGAGTGCTCGCGCGGGTGGCGTGTAGTGGCCACAAGCAAGCAGTATCCCCCCCCCTCCCCCCCTGGCCCGTTGCAGCGTAGGGTCGCGCGGCTGACGCTGGTGGTGCGGTGCGTGGGACACAGCACAGGCTACCGCGCGCAGTTTCCAACCAACAAAGTGACTGCTGACAACTGCCGTGGGCGCCGAGCCCGCCCAAATTTTGGCATATCTACTAGGCATATTGTTGCAGGCAAAATAGGCTGTCCTTGTCCTCAATAGCGATGTACGTTAGTGATATCAGTAAAAGTAATGTTACTTTTTATCTTTTCAGTGCTTTTTAAATTATTTTTAACCCAAGTTACTCCGTTAGGCTCGCGCTGCTTTCGATCTGCGCAGTTACCATACCGTTTGGATGGGTTGGGTCGGAACGTTGCCTCCGTCTGCAGGACTGGATGGTACTTAACTGGATTAAAAGGCTTCGCATCGCCTCGCATCTTGTATTTTATTCAGATTCTTTATCCCTTTTCGCTGTAAGGCTCAGTCAAGGAAAGTGAAATAAGAGTGACGAACATAGTGTACTTCGGCCAACAGACGACGAGGAAGAGGGGGGGGGGACATAAACGTTCGAGGTGGGGTCACATTATAAGCTATTTCAGAGCTGAGAAAGAAGAACAGCACGAATAGCAAGGGGGCCTGTGATTCGTCGCTCAGGTATAGATACGGAGACCGGGCGACGAATCGTGGGCCGCCTTGTTATTCGTGCTGTTCTTCTTTCCCAGTTCTCTGAAATAGCTTATTATCGCGCTTGGAAAGCAGCGCTGAGCTCGCTAACAAGGCCCCTTCCCTCAGCGTGATTTAATTTTTGTGTATGGTGATTATTCTCACAGCGTTCATGCCACCAACCTCTGGCGTAGGTGCGGGTGCTTTAAAAAAAAAAAGGACAAACGTCAGCGGTAAAATCCAGTGAACAGTTGTTGTAAGAGGCAGGTTGGGCAGGTCATACACAAATTACATCACGCTGCGAGCTCAGCGGTCTTGCCTCATGGGTGATAATAATGTGACTCCACCGATGTGTGCATCAGTCGGGCGTACAGTGATAATGGCCCTCCAGGACGCCTCTTATAAATCATTCTTGTAAAGCTGAAATGCAAGAGAATGCAGGGAGCAAAAAATGGAAGTCCCACGTAAAAGCACAGTGATTTCCGTTTTCGTCTTCCTCGCATTCCTCTGCATTTTAGCTTTACCGGGGTGCTTTATTCTGACCCCGTGAAGAATTTACCTCATTTGCCCTAAACTAGCAAATTTCTGAAGGTCCCAGAAAAAGTCACAAAATGCCGAGATGCCGAGATGCTTGTTTGGCACACAGTCTGGGTCAGATACCTGCCCGCCCTAGGGGAAGGGGAAGGGGGTGGGGGGGAGCGTGACCCCGGGGTACCTGCGCGCCCTGCGCTAGCGCTCGCTCGCTCGCTCGCACGGAGGACCTGCCCTACACGGCCCGCCCTGCGCATGGCGTAACGACTCCCTGACCCACCTTGTCCACTCTGGCCCGGACAGGCTCGGCCCACTACACGTGTACCACCACCACCCCGGCCTGCGACAAAAACGAACCGCGACCGCGGACGACTGGACCATCAGAGAAAGTCACCAGGGTAGGGGGACATCCGATTTATAGGCATCCGCGGTATGGCGGGGCGGGGCGGGGTGGGGCGCGGCGCCCGCTGCTCCGGGTCGTCTCTTCCTTCCTATTTTGCCGCCCCCTACCCCTCCCTCCCCCACCCGGGCGAAAACCACCGCCGAATTCCGTGGTGTCGCCGTCGCCGTCGTCTGCTCATCCCGGTGTTTCAAGACTGAATCCGTATAAAAGCGATGGGGCCCTAGTCTGGGCATCGCAGTCGGCGACACCGTCTTCCGCCGAGACATCCGATCACTCCACGCTCACAGAGATGAAGATTGCGGTGAGTGGTTCCCGAGCATTCCCGAGGATGGCGTCGTGATGCGATGCATCTCGAGGGGGCCGTCGCCCGGGCAGCGCTCCTCTCAGCAGAGGGATCTTGTCGATGACGTTGCTGACGCTCTGTTCCTCCTCCTCCTCCTTGCAGGCCGTTCTGTTACTGGGCGTGACGCTGGTCGCCGGCGGTGGCCTCCAGGCGCCGGCGCCCGTCTACGGCCCACCAGCTTTCGTGGCCTCGCCCCCGAGCTCTCCCATCGCCGAGAACATCCAGTACGACTCCACCGGCTCTAGCTACGGACCACCTCCACCACCACCGGCCCTCGGCGGCGGCTACGGCGGCTCGGGCGGCTTCATCGCCTCTGGCGGCGCTGGCGGCTTCAGCGGCCCCGCTTGCGCTGGCGCAGGCTGTGCCGGCACCGTCCAGGAGTACCGCAGCCACCACCAGGTGCCCACCCGCACCGTCACTCACCACGTCACCGTCCCCATCCCGCAGCCGTACCCGGTGACGGTCGAGACCCGCGTGCCCTACGAGGTGAAGGTGCCCGTCCACGTGCCCGTCGACAGGCCCGTCGAGGTGCCCGTACCCAAGCCCTACCACGTGCACGTCGACCGGCCCGTGCCTGTTCACGTCGAGAAGAGGGTGCCGTATCCAGTGCACGTCAAGGTGCCGGTGAAGATCCCCGTGCACGTGCCCGTCGACGTCCCCAAGCCCTACCCCGTGAAGGTGTGGGTGCCCAAGCCTTACCCCGTGCCCGTCCCCGTCAAGCAGTACATCCACAAGAAGTACATTCACAAGACCTACAAAGTCAAGAGCCACGATGACGAAGGCTGGTGGTGATCCAAAGACAGCTGACAGCTCGCAGTTTGCAATCTTCAACTCTAGTCACAACGTGTTAATTAATATGTCTTGTTAAACCTTTTACGTTTTTTTTATATTTTTAACAATAAAGCATTGAGAACTGTTGATGATATTTTTATAAAAATTGTGTTTCATTATTGTTTGATAGGACTGATTGTGCCCACAAATTAACCATCTCCAACTTAGGGAAAATAAGGGAAACGCAATAGTCACATTTTAAAAAGTTATGTACATGTATTTATTATTACGTATGAAGCATGACATGGTGGTAGAGATGTGTTGATGATGTAGTGACTAGGATGGCTGTTAACACCACAAGGACAACAACAATGGGTGATTCCGGCGGTAGTGCAGCGAGTACTCGTTGAAAAAACTAAAGGGCCAATGAATGGTCACTTGGTCTACCCCACTGCTGTGGTTGGGGTCAGCCACTCGACAAATCATGGTCCTTTTGTTTCTTCTCTGCACCACCTCCAGTGTAGTTTGTAACAAAACTTAAAGAAAAAAGATAACAAAGGAGTTAGGCTAATTTTGAGGTCAGAGCACGCACGAAGCACCGAGAGGAGACACGAACCAATCAATGCTTGTAGTTATCAATTGGATTTACAATCTCTCATAATGAATGAGGCATTAAGGGTTCGGATCTCTTCGAAGTGGTTCTCGCACCCCGAGTGGCCCCCTGTAACCTAGTCCCAGCCTCCGCCAAGGTGGCCCAGACCGCCTCCCAGCTTCCAGCCGGTGGTCTTGCGCACGATGATCTTGATTGGTGGTGGGGGCGCGTGCTTCTCGATGTACACGGGCTCCCTGATGATCTTCTCCACCGGGTACGGGACGTGCTTGATGACGGGCACCTTGACGGGCACCCTCACCTCATATGGCACGTGCTTGATGACGGGCACTGGGTACGGCCTGTCCACCGGGACGGGCACCTCCCTGTCGACGGGGACGTGCTTGATGACGGGCACTGGGTACGGGCGGTCGACGGGGACGGGCACCTCCCGGTCGAAGGGCACGGCGAAGGGGACCTTGACGGCGTACGGGACGGGCTTCTCAATGGGCACGGGGTAGGGCTGAGGAATGCCGTAGGCCACTTGTTTTTCGACCAGGACGGATTGAATAGAGGCATCCACGGGCGCGCCGTAGGCCGAGCCGGGTAGTCCGTAGGCCGGAGCGGCGGGGACCCCGTAGGAGGGAGCGGGGATGGCGGCCAGACTGTTGATCCCCGACAGACCGAGGCCCGCGTCGTACCCGAGGGCCTCGCCGTACACGCCGCGCTTGTCCTTCTTGCCTTGGTCGGACGCGGCCACCAGCGCCACCAACATAACGCCTACCACCTGGAAAAAAAAAAAATGAATGGTTATTTATCTTGACTGAAAGGACCAGGTGTGTCAGAGAATACTAATCAGCGTTGCGGGTTTGCGTGCCCTCTCGGGCGGCAGAATTCATACGGCCCCTGACGGCAGAGTAGGCAAACCCAGAACACTAGGTTTATCTTATTATGACATAACCATTCTCGTTATCCGGAAAATCTACCTGACACTCTGATTCCCCAATGGAGGTCTAAAATAAATATGTGAAGTTAAGGAAAGTGAGGAGTTCTTTCGAGGGCAGTCATGGCACCTTATTACTTTGAACTTGCAAAATATGCAGGCATGCACGCACTCGCATTGGCACTTACACACACGTTCACAACCCGCAAAACATTATAACGTACAGCACAGAGGGGGCAGCACACAAACGCACTTTTAGAGGCCACCCGTTAACCCGCCACGACATCCACCCACGCCCCGGCTTCCTAAACGCGAGCGCCGCCGCTGCGCACGGCGGGCACCCAGGCTCAGGAGCACTGCAGTCGTTACCGACCTTGTCGGGACAAGAAGTATAAAAACAGCTGCACCACTAAAACACCCGGGCGTCCGTCCGCCGCCAGAGCCGCTGCACTGCCGCGTCTCACTCTCGCACCCTCTCTCCCCCGGTCAGGTCACTCACCATGAACTTCATGTCGCAGGATGTGTGGAGCACGCTCGATGCTGTTCCCGTTCGGCGGAACTAAATGCTCTGCCGGCCATTGCGAACCCCCGCTGTTTTATACGGGGCGACAGGGGCCCGGAGCACAGCCCTGCACACACCACGAGGTGCAGGGCTTGGCCAGGGTGGGGCCGGGCAGTGGCCCACCGGGCTTGGCCCACGAGCTGGCCCACCGGGCTGGCCCAAAAGCAGGCTGGTCTGTATGGGCCCCATGGGCCCGCAAGCCCAGCCGCCGCCGCCACCGCACCGCCGACCCGCTGCTGCTGCTGCTGCTGCTGCACCCCGCTTCTCTCCCCCTCCGGCTTCCTGCTCTCCTTTTTGGCGGAGCAGCAAGCCAATAGCAAGCCCGCCCGGCCCCAGAGCGCCCCCGGCCCGCGGGGCGGGCCCGTCACAAAATTTCGCTAAACTGGAGCATCCGGTTTGTTGTGTGCGTGCGCGTGTGTGTGTATGTGTGTGTGTCGCAACGAATTCCCGAACACACAGGGCGCAAGTGATCGCACAGGCCCGGCGAGCCGGCTGGCCGGAGGGTGTTGCGTTGCAAGAGCATGTGCGAGAGCCGGCCCCGGGTCCAGGAGGCGATCGGGAGCCCCGCCCCGCCCCGCCCCGGCCCGCCGCCAGTCGGATCTCATTCTTTTCCTCTCCCAAGATATTCGCAAGGTGTCTGTCCCCCCAGACTGCGCTGCCCCCGCCGCCCTGCTCCCTCCTCCACCCCTTCGCCCTGCCCTGCCCCTGCCCTGCCCAGCTGAGACTCGGGCCGGGACCGGTTCCAGAGGCATTCGCCGTAGTAACCTGTTACCGAGCTCTCAATGCGGCAGCGTGTGTGTGTGAGTGTGTCCCTTCGCCCTGCATGCGCAACCCTGCGATAGTAGAGTGTCCCAGTCGTCGAGTCGCACCCGCGACGTGTAGTACAAATACGTATTAGAGAATGATTCCGCCACGTGAGACTAGCGTTACTTTTCAGCCGTCTGTCGACAAAAATAAAGAAGGCGGCTTGCAACGAAGCCTCCTGTCAATCACTGAAATATATAAGGAAGAAGCGTCCTAACTCGGGCACTAACCAAACACCCATTCATATTTGCCGCCCTCTTGGTGAGGCACACGTGGCAGGCACACGTGGCAGACACGCGTTGTGATTCAGCTGCCGGCGCAGACTTTCTCGGCGACGGGCGCCGTGCAGGCTGCCGGGGTCGCGGCCAGCCAAGACGGGATCATAAAGCCTTTCATTGTCGTGAAGCTCGAATGAATGAACAGGTAGCCGACGATGGGCATCCTAAGCCGATCGTGAGAAAACTATCAGCGATGATTATCACTTTTCGCATCTTTTTGTTGTTTGTCTATCCCCCTTTACCTGTTGTTGTTTTTTTGCAAGAAAAGAAAAAAAGATGGGCTATTTGAGACCGCCTTTCTCTTCCTCCCACCCAGCGGTCACAAACTTATACTTCCGCGACATCCCGCGTCACCCGAGCTATTTTGTAACCATAGTCGCGAACTAGGCAGAGCTCGCTTTATTTTTTCTGCTCGCGAATCGGTTCAGTTTCGGCCAGAACTGAAATTTTGCGGACCCCACTCCCCATCCCAGGGGGAAGGAGGAGGATGTTCCTATATTTAAGAGGTACCTCCTGAGGCAGAGGGGCACAGACTCAAACGGGTCTCAAAGCAGACAGCACACGCCTGCGCAACATGGAGCACACTGTGAGTACACGCACCATTACAGGACAAAGAAAGCGACGAAAAAGTTTTAATTGGCAGGTGTAGAGTAAAACCTCTTCTAATTATGTTCATTCATA